CGACAACTGCTGCTGCTAAATACCACTGCTGCTACTACCAGTACCACCACAACTAATGCTACTGCTACGACGACTACTACGACTACGACCACGTCTTATACTACAACTGCGACAACTACGACAACTACGACTACGACTACTACTACTACTACTACTACTACTGCTACAGCCACTACTACTACTACTACTACTACAACTACTACTACTACTACTACTACTACTACTACTACTAGTAGCACTACTACTACTACTACTACTACTACTACTAGCTACTACTACTACTACTATACTACTACTACTACTACTACTACTACTACTACTGCTACTTGTACTACTACTACTACTACTACTACTACTACTACTACTACTACTCTTCTACGACTACTACTACTACTACTACTACTACTACTACTACTACTACTACTACTACTACTACTACTACTACTACTACTACTACTACTACTACTACTACTACTACGACTACTACTACTACTACTACTACTACTACTACTACGACTACTACTACTACTACTACTACTACTACTACTACTACTACTACTACTACTACTACTACTACTGCTACTACTACTACTACTACTACTACTACTACTACTACTACTACTACTACTACTACTACTACTACTACTACTACTACTACTACTACTACTACTACTACTACCACTACTACTACTACTACTACTACTACTACTACTACTACTACTACTACTACTACTACTACTACTACTACTACTACTACTACTACTACTACTACTTGGGACCCTGCCATGCACTTAAATGCCTCCCAGATGCGGTCGAAGTAGCTGTGGACGGAGCGATGCGTCAGCGATGCGCTGGCGATGAATGGGCGATACATCGCTGATGCATCGGGAACTTCGGCGATGCATCGGCGATTTTAGCATGCAGAAGCTGGAGCTGCACATCGAGCTGCATCGCCGATGCATCGGCGATGCGGCGCGATCCTCCGACCCCATCTGTTTCGACCACATCTAGGAGGCCTAGAGTACTTCAACTCAGCATGAGGGCTGTGGGGATGGTTCTGCAGACCAGACGTCTAGACTCACCAAGATCTCGCTTCTTACTCTGGTCATGCGTAGCGCGGCGCGGGACTGCACAGCTGCGTAGCGCCACGGGGTACATGAGCAACAGGGAACGCACGAACCTGGATGGCTCTAGCAACCCACCTAGATATGCTATGTGAGGATGCCCCTGGCCATATTGATAACAGTATCCGCGGGTGGGGTCCCACGGGCGCCACGGGCACCGGCTACGAAGGTAGTCTTACTCCTGGCGCGCAATGCCGCGCAACACCGACCCCACCTCCCGGGCAGGGCAGACGGGCTGGAAACGGATCCAGGCGATGGCACGTGTTGCTAGGGAACCGCTGTCCAGCGACCCCCCTCCATGATCCGCAGGAGCCGCGCTCCCCGAGGCACCCCTCTTCCACACTCGAGCTCCGAGCTTCTGGGCCTCAACGGCGGCGGAGAGCCCTTCAGGCCTACGACCCAGAGGAGCCCGTGGGGCCTGTCAGCCCTGCTTTCGCCATGGGCCCCACTGCCGAAAAACACACCGCGGTGCTGGCGACCACCAGTCGTGGCGCGCCTCGCTGGCGCCATGCGACGAAAATTTGCAGGGCGAAGCAATGCGAGCCGGTAAAATCTGGTGTGTATATATATATAGATAGATAGATAACGGAAAGGGGCAGAGAAGGCCCCGAGGAGCGCGCTTACAGTCAAGGCCGAAGTCAAACATCATCCAGTCTGGCCAGGGGTACGCTGCCATGACCCTAAGGTCGGCCGTGCCCCCTACAGGCCGATGTTCGACGGAAAAAAAGCCCAAACAAACATTCAACAATGATCAAACATACAAGAAACATCGTCTCCAGAATTACTTGTTTGACTATTTTTGAACATTCCTCCTGTAGAGGGACAGGCCCGACTTAACATGACCCCCCGAAATGTGGAGCGTTCCCCTTACTACAAGGCTGGAGCAACAAAACGCTAGAACCAACAAGGGGGGCTCTGCGGCCCATGACTGCCCGTCCACCGAACAAACGAAATAGAAGAACAAAAACGGCATACACATAAACTTGTGGCGCTCCGCGCGGATTTCTTGGATCTGCGCTGGACGCCCCTCCCTGGTGCGCGGAGCGCGCCATGGGCTGCGCCGGAGGCGCCGCCAGGGGGGCCCAGCGCAGATCCAAGAAATCCGCGCGGAGCGCCAAAAGTTGATCATTAAAGCGCTTGTCCTTCTTCGAGGAAAGGAGCCCGCTTGCGCAGCCCCCAAACACAGGGAGAAGCGCCTTTGCGAGGACGCCTCTCAGACGAGGCTCCACCTGGTCCACCTTATACTGGTCGCCAAGGGCCTGCAGCTCCATCAGCCTCTCGATGAGCTCCATGGGCTTGTCCTCGTCGCGCTCGAAGGCTTCGAGTTTTGCCTCAACCTCATTCAGATCATAGAGGATATCCCTCTGCTTCGGCACCTTAGTAGACGAAGACAAAACGGCATACACATAAACTTTTGACGCTCCGCGCGGATTTCTTGTTCGCGCTGGGCCCCATTCCCTGGCGCGCGGAGCGCGCCAGGGGCGGCGCCAGAGGCGCCGCCGGGGGGATCCAGCGCGGATCCAAGAAATCCGCGCGGAACGCCAAACAATTGTGCTTGTGGCGTTTTTCCTTGTCGTCGACTTAGCAACAAGCCCTTCCGTCAGGCTCCATATCATGTTGCTCGCCCTCCACCTTCAAGTCATCCTGCCTCTTCCTCCGCTGCATTCTCCTCCCCAACTTTCTCCCCTCGCCCTCCGGTTCGCCTTCCCCCTCCTCCGTCCGCCTCCCCCTTCACCCTCCTCTTCCCGCTCCCGCGGCCGCTACTCCTCGTTAAAGGCTTAACGACTTCTGCCGTCCTTCGACTCGCGCTGGAGCGGCCGCGAATTGCTCCAAATTTCCCTCGAGATCTCTGGATTTATCTGGATTTATCTGGATGTATCTCGATTTGCCTGGATTTACTCTGATTTATCTAGATGTATCTGCATTTACCTGGACCTATCTGGCTCGACTCCCACAAGTCGATTGGCGAAAAGCCGATACGCCCTTAGGGAACTCCTCCTGCTCATCGGGCAGCTGCGACGGCCGTCTCCTCTCCGAGGTCGGGCTCTCTGGCCTACGCCAGTTGGTGGGGAGCCCCTGCGCCGCTGGGCGGTGCAGCGTCTGCTCTCTCTGCCCTCTACCCTTCGTTGTTGGAAGGCTCCCCCCTCTCCGCTGGAAGTGTCCAATCCAATCCGCCTGCTCATCGGGTCGCCAGAACGTCGGCATCGATTCTCGTCGGGACGGCCGGAATCGGTGCCGTGCGGGACCGGTCGGGTCGAAGTGGGCCCTGGCTTGCGGGCGCAGCAGGCGACCACAATCATATCAAGGACACGCCCGGGGGGGTAGCCTGCGCATGCCGACACTCGTCAGAATACAGAGGCTTAGTACTGATTGTGGTCGATGCGGCGGCCAAGGACGGCCAAACCGACCACAACCACAGCAGAAGTGTTAGTGCCGAGGTCCGTGGGTTCTTCCTCGAGGGGCCCGACCGAACAATACACTCAGCCGTGGTTCTGATTCCTGGGTTCGGCGGCGCGCCCGGAGGGGAAGCGAGAAGGGGCAGGCCTTGTCAAAAGGCTCGGCAGCCCCCGGGCCTTCCGAGAAGCCTCCTACAGGCCCTCCCAGAAGGCGCCGGAACTCTCGCGGAGGGCGCGAGGGCCTCTGAGAAGCCTCGCGGCCTCTGAGAAGGCCTCCTCCTTCTCCCTTCCCCCCCTGGCTCGCCGCCGGTGGTTGTGCCCAGAGGCCTCCCACATGGGGTCCGATTAGATGGGGTCGGAAGATCGCCCCGCATCCGCGATGCATCGGCGACGTCGGCGATGCATCGGCGCCGTCGGCATGGCGAAAATCAGGCTCCGCATCGAGCCGCATCGCCGATGCATGGGCGATGCGGCGCGATCCTCCGACCCTATCTACTCCGACCCCATCTAGGAGGCCTAGATCCCTCTCACTTCCCCCACTGGCTCGCCGCCGCTGGTTGTGCCCCAGGTGGCTGGCACAGCCCCCCCCCGACCTGCGCAAAAACCGCGCCCCCCAGCGGCGCCTCGCTCAGCGAGGGCGCGACCGCGGGGCCCCGCGCCCTGCCGAGGGCACGCGGCTCACCCCGCCCGCGCGGGGCGACGTGCGCGACGCGGCACAGAGACTGGGCGCCAGGGCGATCGTAGAAGCCTCCTCCTCCTCCTCCTCCTCCTCCCTCCTCCTCCTCCTCCCCCTCCTCCTCCTCCTCCTCCTCCTCCTCCTCCCTCCTCCTCCTCCTCCTCCCTCCTCTCCTCCTCCTCCTCCTCCTACTCCTCCTCTTCCTCTTCTTCTTCCTCCCACAGATGGGGTCCGAGTAGGTAGGGTCGAAAGATCTTGCCGCACCGCCGATGCATCGGCGACGTGGGCGATGCACCGGCAACGTCGACGTGAAGCAAGTCGGGCTGCACACCGAGCCGCATCGCCGATGCACCGGCGCTGCGGCGCGATCCTCCGACCCCACCTACGCCAGGAGGCCTAGAGAGACGCGGCGCAGAGGCCCGGCGCCGGGGCGATTGGTGTCTGCCCACGAGCCAGGAGCTGCAGCCGGGAGCTCTCGGCGACGCGCACGAGGGACCCCGGGCAGGAGTGCGCGCCCTGCCGATCGCGGCCTGCGGCCCGACGAATGGATTAGGCCTGCGTGCTCGGGCCTGGCCGCCCGCGCCCCCCGAGGGCAGCGCGCCTCAGAGGCCACTCCGGCGAGGGGCCGCTCCTGCGAGCAGCCGGGGCGTCCGCTCCGCGAGTCGCCGATGGGCGACCCAAGGGGACCCCCTCGCAGGCGGGTGGCGTCTCGCTCCGCTGCGCGGGGCGAGCACCACGGGAGCACGCACACTCGCCATCGCTCGGACGTCCATTCCCTGTGTTTTTTCGGCTTCGTGTGTGGGTTTTTCCAAATGATCAAGGATGGTCCTCGATGGTCCTCGCCGAAGGAAAAATGCACACGTCCGAGCGATGCCAAGGCACAACGGTGGCGCTCGGGGGCCGGGAAGCGGAGAGCGTGCAGCGCCGCACCGCGGTGTGCCAGAACCAGCGGGGCGGCACGCGATCCCAGAGCTCCCGAGCTACGAACAGGGGCACGTCCACCACTCCCTACGTGCTCGACCACGGGCCCGCTGTTGCCCATCGGCCTCGGGCGGTCTTGGGCTGGTCTTCTCGCTGTCTCCGGCGCGGGAGTTGGGCGGTTGCGTCTGAGACCAGGTGCATGATCGAACACCTGACGCATCCATGCCCTCGCGCTCTGGATTCCGAGCCGCGACTCCATGGATATGGGGCTCAACAAGGCCCCGTACCCATGGGGTCGCGGCCGTGGGGTCCAGACGGCAAGGCCACAGATTATCATCGACAATGTCTTTCCCACCCACGATCTGAGGCTGCCTGCACCTCCGGCTTGGAAGACAGAGCAGCTCGGCCACCAGCTTTCTGGCCACAACTGGTGCAGCAGAGAGCCGTCAGCAAAGGCCAGCGGCGATCCCAGGAGGTCCTCTTGGGAAGGCGTTCCTGCTGGCACTGGCCGGGGAGTCTGGTCTACTGTAACGTTCCCGTGGGCTCGTCAACGGGCAGAGCCATGCCAACTGATATTGGACGACTCTGCGGCCGCTCGAAAGCCGCCCAAAGGCCGGTCGAGAGCCGCCGCTCCCAGGTCGCAGCCCCTGCTTTTGCTTCGCCGCCGGCTCCCTGGCAGTCTGCGCTGCACGGCGGCCGAGGAAGGCGAGGAGACGAGAAGCAGGCAGACGAGGACAAACGCGCTGGCGGGAGACCAGGGCTGGCGGGACGAGGCAGGCAGGCGAGAGGTCAGGGCTTTACAATCAACCACACCTCCCGTCCCCCTCCGGCCCGACCCTTGTTGACCGTGCTGGCATCTGCTGGTACATACGGCCTGCTTCCAGACATCATGCGCCACAGCAACACATACGCCCGAAACGCGGACAGGCGTCGTAGACAGTGGCCTGCGACATGAGGTACAAAACAACATCCTGAGCCTGATCTGGAGCAGCAATTTCCGAACCCAACTGCGATGCCCAGAATATGACCGTAAACACTGAACCGTCCTGAAAACCCTAAACCCCAAAAACGTGCCATCTCTTGGGAGGCCGTTCTACTTCCGCCGGCTTCCACCTGCCTTTCGCCAGCGGAACCGCCACCGTTTTACGTACTTCCGCCGCCTTCCGCCGAGGAAAAAATGCCAACTCCTTCGATCCTCGAAGTCAAGGGGCAAGGCCCTTTCTGGAGCGCGCCAGATGCGGATTCGGGGGAAGGTGCCCTTGGCCCAAGGTGCCCCCAGCTGTTCGCTCAATTTTGGAGCTAGTGGCATCTTCTGGGCCTCGTGAGGGGTGCTCTGGAGGTTGTGGGGGGACTCCTTGGAAATCCTGGGGGCCCCTTGGGTCAGGGGCACTTCTAGCGACACCCGACGGGATGATTCGCCATCGCGCCGACGTCCATTCCCCGTGCACTTTCCCATTTCGCGCGTGTATCTTCCGCCAATAATCGGCGGTGGACACACCTCCCTTTAGTAAACCTCCCCTTAGTGAAAACGGCCTGGGACCGAAACCGACGGACCTGGACCCGCAGAAATGACGGCCGCGACGCCCTCTCGCGAACCGAAAACGGCCAATTCCTTAATCGACGTGTCAGGGTAGGAGGTCTATCCACCTCCGAAATCAGAGGATCAAGGATGCTCCTCAATGGTCCTCGACGAAGAAAACGTGCACACGCCCGCACGATGCCCAGAGGAGGCCCGCTGAGCCGAGGGCCGCCGACATGACCTCGTCCTGCGCGGCAGCGGGGCGGGGGCGGGGGCGGCAGCCCGCGGAAGCGCGGCTCCGGACCGAGCGGGCGCACAGGCGCAGGATCCCCGGCGCCCGGGGCCGGACGCTGGAAGCAGACGTCGGCGGCGAGCGAGCGGCTACAGTCGGGGCGTTGACCTAAGGAACCCTTAATAAGGAACGGGGCCCCTTTCCCCTATAAGTTGAGCTTCGATTTCCCATGGAAAACCTCAGGAAAACAGAAGGCAAACTGCAGAACAATCAAAGACCACAAGGAACACCGAGCCCCTCCCCAATGAACAGGGTTCCTTCTGCAGGGCCCCAGCTGTATGCGCAAAAAGTGCCCCCAGGCAGGGGTTCAGTCGGGCACGTCCCTCTACAGGAGGAGAGGTCCAAAAAAGTCAAAAATAATCCGGGGGCGTGTTGACCATGCTTGAGTATGTTTTGGTGATTTATGTTTCGGCCAAAACATCCCCTGTAGGAGGACATGCCCGACCTGAGGCAAGAGTGACCTCTGGTGCGCGGCTTGACTGGGAACGCGGGGACGCGGGGTGGCCAAACCCAGGCGCGCAAGCCACTGCTACCGCTTCGCTTTCAGCGATCGGGGGACCCCACTGGGCCAG